TCCATCTCTCAGTCATCTATCTGCTATCATCATCGCTATATCCAAACGTTCCTTCGATTCTTGGGCGCTGGGAGAATACTGTGAACTTTTCGTTGTCTCCGGTTCACCGTCTCGCCTGACATCATCATGAACAGTGGCAGTGATCCCGAGAGAGACCAGGCGCTCGAGGACTACAAGAGAAGTCTGCTGGAGTTGCGGGAATGGGAGGCCAAACTGAAGTCTCTGCGGATGGGGATTAAGGATTTACAGAGAGAATTCGACATCTCTGAAGAGAACATCAAGGCCCTGCAGAGCGTTGGTCAGATCATCGGGGAGGTGCTGAAACAGCTCGACGAGGAGAGATGTAGGTCTACCTTGGCTCATTTTGTTTTTAAGCAAAGAGTTCTGGAAACCGTTCCGAAAGTTGCTGGGCATGAATCTGCCGGTCTTATCTGTACAGGCGCTGACCTCTATAGTCATTGTCAAGGCTTCCTCCGGACCTCGATATGTTGTCGGTTGCCGCTCCAAGGTTGACAAGGCGAAGCTGAAGCAGGGTACCCGGGTTGCCCTGGATATGACTACGTTGACGATTATGCGGATGCTGCCCAGAGAGGTCGATCCCTTGGTATACAATATGTCGCTGGAGGACCCGGGTCAGATCAACTTTGCAGGCATCGGTGGTCTAAATGACCAAATCCGTGAGCTACGAGAGGTGATCGAATTGCCATTGAAGAACCCCGAACTGTTCCAACGAGTGGGTATCAAGCCGCCCAAGGGTGTCTTGCTCTACGGTCCTCCAGGTACGGGTAAGACGCTTCTGGCACGAGCTGTCGCAAGCTCAATGGAAACGAACTTCTTGAAAGGTATGCATACCAAGGCCATGGGGATCGTCGCGCCTGCTAATGCTCTCCTTACCCAGTGGTGTCATCTGCTATTGTCGATAAGTACATTGGTGAATCCGCACGGCTGATAAGAGAGATGTTCGGATACGCCAAGGAGCACGAGCCTTGCATCATCTTCATGGACGAAATTGACGCCATCGGAGGACGACGTTTCTCCGAGGGTACCTCTGCGGATCGAGAAATTCAACGAACACTGATGGAGCTGCTCAACCAGCTGGACGGCTTTGATTATTTGGGCAAGACCAAGATCATCATGGCCACGAATCGGCCGGACACCCTAGACCCAGCTCTTTTGCGTGCTGGTCGTCTGGACCGGAAGATCGAGATCCCCTTACCTAACGAGGTTGGTCGTTTGGAGATTCTGAAGATCCACTCTAGCACTGTCAAGATGGATGGGGAGATCGATTTCGAGAGCGTGGTGAAGATGAGTGACGGCCTCAATGGTGCTGATCTTCGCAACGTTGTCACCGAAGCGTAAGTGGCTATCCCAAATGATTATCTCTGCTCGGATCAATGCGGTGATCTTAGACTGACTGTGATTTAGTGGCCTTTTTGCAATCAAGGACTACCGCGATGCGATTAATCAGGATGATTTTAACCGGGCTGTGCGGAAGGTGGCTGAGGCGAAGAAGCTGGAGGGCAAGCTTGAATACCAGAAGTTGTAAATGCATTTCGATGAATGGTTTTACGTCGGGCTTAGCCGTCATGTTCTAGAAATCTGTTTGAATTCACTGGCACGGTCCGCCGACCTTGATTCTGGATAATGTAACTCTAGATCAATATTCTCCTCGTACCCAAAGCTGTAACGGAATACGTGGTTTAGTTATGTATCCGACTCGAGTTTGGAGGAGTGATGTGGAATAAGTTACTAGTAGCTCCACATCGTCCGGAACACAGACCCTGGAATCGAACCCTGGCCGGGGAAAAGAGATGACCAGTCCATATGTCATGGAGATGATGCTGTACACATAACTTACTGACTATGAGCATTTACTACTCCGTAGCTGGAGCAGTATCGGAAATGAATGCCAAGGCGGAGTGAGGCTCCGGAATACATTACTTGATTACGAGGGAGTTTACTCATAGAGGCGGATCTGCATCCTTGACCCGAGAGTCGGAGACGTTACACGCGTCCAGGCCATTCTCACCACTGACTCTAGTTTATTAAGTTCAGCTCGATATGACCGTTTCATTTTCAGTCTGCGCAACACATCTGGACACTTGTTCTTCACTTGACTGCTTGATGTGGAATTATTGATCCTCTCTCTCTCCCTTTCTCTATTTCTTTTTCTTTATCCCGCCTCTTCTCGACTAAACTATTTCCCGAACTCGGTCGATCGCAACGGATCCTCTCCCCCGTATAGCACGCGTGGAATTCTTGGTTGGTTGGTGCACTGTCTCATTCTTGCTTGCTCTTCATGATCCACGATCCTACAACCGGTCATCTACATCCCATTTCATTGTCTCGTGCTTCGAGCGGCTGGCTGACTGGTACATGTGCACTTGTTGCATGTGTTTACTGTCTAGAGCTTCCAAGTACCAATCGACTCGATTGTCTGCCTTGCTAGCCCATTGCCATCTCTTCATCTCATGTGGAGCATAGCGAACCAACACACTGTAACCAGCTGTGACGATATTGAAAATCAGTGTTTCGGATCAACCGACTCAGTCCGTGGGGTTGTGTTTATTATTACCACATTTCAGGCTCGGGTAGAGAGGACAGATATAGTATTTTAGTAGCAGAGGCCTTGGCGGGTCGGTAACGGTCATGGCTTTCCAGGCCCCGCGGAGCAATCCCTCTTTCCCCCCCCAACAACAACCATTTGAGAACAATTACTGGCGTGCAAGTCGAAGTCCCGGGTCTAATGGGTTGCCTGGCTATGGGTTTTCTCCGTCTGCGACCACTACCATCAACCTGAACACTCCGATCGCCGGCGATCGCACCCTCCCGATGTATAAAGACAAGCCGTATTTCGCTCCGCGGCGCACAGGGCCCCGGACGAGGCGAAGGAAGACCATATACGGTGGCTTGTGCCTATTTGCGCTTTTTCTGTGGTGGTACTACTCCGGTTCAACCCCGTCGCAGTCCAGGATTCACCATGACACTCCCGACCCGGCCAAGGGCGAAGAGCTTTGGAAATGGCTGCAGACCCTCGACGATTCCGAACCGACATACGATGGGCACAGCGCAACCTCGAAGCACATTGACTGGGACACGAGGCGCGAGAGGGTTCGCGACGCGTTCATTGTTAGCTGGGATGGGTATGAGAGCAATGCCTGGGGTAAGTTCTACCGGCTCGCGAAACCAAGCCCACCTGCTCCATCCTGCTAACGTGGTATCCCTGGGGTGGTCGTTTCTGCTGAACAGGCTACGACGAGTATCACCCGATTGCAAAGGATGGCCGGCATATGGTCGCCGGGGGTATGGGGTGGATAATCGTGGATGCGCTGGACACGTTGATGATTATGAATTTGACATCGCGGGTGCAGCACGCCCGCAGCTGGATCCACAACTCCCTGCAGTATAATCAAAATCATGATGTGAATACCTTCGAAACTACCATCCGCATGCTCGGGGGCCTTCTTTCCGCCCATTATCTCTCGACTACTTACCCGGATCTTGCCCCCATCAATGACGACGATGCAGGAACACCGGGAGAGGATCTCTATATCGAGAAAGCGACCGATCTGGCTGACCGGCTTTTGGGCGCTTTTGAATCTACCACGGGCATCCCTTACTCGAGCATCAATTTGAATACCTCTACGGGTATTCCCTCTTATATCGACGATGGCGCGGCCTCGACGGCCGAAGCGACTACAGTTCAGCTAGAGTTCAAGTACCTGGCTAAATTGACGGGCGAGGCGGAGTATTGGCGCTCCGTTGAGAAGGTCATGGAAGTCATTGACGCGCAGAAAAGGCAGGATGGCCTGCTTCCAATTTATGTTTCCCCAGAAACTGGTCAATTCAAGGGCGAGAATATTCGTCTCGGTAGCAGAGGCGACTCCTACTACGGTATGTGCCTCAAGGATAAACGTCCGGACTGTTATGCTCAAACTGACACGCCGGCCAGAATATCTTATCAAGCAGTACCTACAGACTTCGGAACAGGAGCCAATCTACAAGGAAATGTGGGATGAAGCTCTACTCGGCATGCGGAAGCACCTGCTTACTTACTCGCAAAACGCACGCTTGACAGTGCTCGGTGAACGGCCTCACGGCCTCGGCGGCACATTGTCACCTAAGATGGACCACTTGGTTTGCTTCCTTCCCGGAACGATCGCGCTTGGAGCGACCGGAGGACAACCGCTCTCTGAGGCGCGCAAGTCTCCCAACTGGGGCCAACGACAAGAGGAAGAAATGCGCCTGGCGCGAGAACTGACCAAAACCTGCTGGGCCACGTACCTAGTTACTGAGACTGGCCTCGCCCCGGAAATCACCTACTTCAAAGTCGACGATCCCCGAGTCATGGAAGCAGACATGTACCCGGATTCGACGGCCGTCACTGGCCGAAACGACCAGCCCGTTTCGTCACCAGGAGACCTACCTCTCCTTTCGAAGCCTCTATACCCGATCCCAGCCCGATCTGATTCGAGCGGCACATCTACGAAAACCTGGCTTGATGACCTTGAAATCCAGCGGATGGACCGGCATAACCTCCAACGGCCTGAGACTGTGGAGTCCCTCTTTTACATGTACCGTATCACTGGAGATGACACCTACCGGCACTGGGGCTGGGAGATGTTCAAGTCCTTCATCAAATACACCGCTGTCGTGGAGACAGACAGCCTCGATGAGGAAACAGGAGGGAACCCACCGGCCGCTGAAGGATCGGGTGGCCGCATCACTGGGTTCACCTCTCTCTCGAATGCGAAGACCCTGCCCGTTGCGGCCAGGGACAATATGGAGAGTTTTTGGATGGCGGAGACGCTCAAGTATTTCTACCTGCTGTTCTCCGATCGGGATTTCATCTCGTTGGAGGACAATGTGTTCAACACCGAGGCGCACCCCTTCCCCCGTTTCAAGCCTACCGGGGAGTTGAAGACGGGGTGGACGAGGAAGAGTCGCACGGAGGAGAGTCAGACCATGGAGCATCTAGCTCAGATGTAATTTTGTTCTACTTGTTGTGGTAATCTGCTTGGCGATTCTGTATAGGTTGCATATCCAAAATTCCATACTTTCGACCGCTCGCATCATAGCCTCGAAACCTGCCTCCATGGTCTTGTAGATCCCATGCGAAAGGGGACCATTCTTCACAGCTCACTACATCAACCACCGCCGCCACCACCCAATCCTTGAAACTTACTCCGACTTGAGGCCCCGCTGAACAGCCGCATCAATCAGTCGCTTATACCCCCGTACAGCCTCTTCTAGTTGCCCGACGGTGATCGCCTCATCGTCCCCGTGCGCAACATGAATGCTTCCCGGCCCATAGAGGTATCGCTTCACATTCTCCGAAACCTTCAGGTTGGGCACATCGGTGCCGTAGTTCACGGGCATGATCTCAAAGCCAGGGACATCGGTATCCAAGTCCTGGGGCGGATACCCTCCGCTGTACACCTCGAAATCGCAGTAGACGTTCTCATCACCGTGTGTGGCATCCTGGACCGCCTGCGCGATGATCTTCCGCGCGTCGTCCGGCGTGCCCTCGGCCAGTCGAATGGCGACCTCCGCGCGCGCCTTGGCGGGGACAACATTGGCGGCGACGCCGGCATCGACGCGACCGATGTTCACCGTCGTGCGGCCGAATTTCGGGCTGGCCGGCAGACCGCCATCTTCGGCGGGGATCTCGCCCAGCGCATCCAGCCGCGACAGCGCGGGCAGGAGCGCGGAGACGGCGCTCCGGCCGAGCCAGGGGTAGCCGGAGTGGGCGGCCTGGCCCTTGGCCAGGAGCGGGAACTCGAGCATGCCCTTGTGGCCGGAGACGAGGGCCAGCTCGGTGGGCTCGCCGAAGATGACGGTATGGAAGGGCGACGGGGTCGTCGGGTTGAGCGGCGAGTCCGAGAAGACGCGCATCCCCAGGCCGCCGACCTCCTCGTCGACCACGAAGAGAAGCCCCAGGCTGGCCGCCGGGTGCGCCTCCAGGGTCTCGAGGACGGCGAAGACCTGCGCGGCGACGCTGGCTTTGGCGTCGACGGTGCCGCGGCCGGCCAGGACCAGGGCGGACCGGTCGCCGTGGTCATCGTGGAGGGTATACGGGAGGAAAGGCGGGACCGTGTCGATGTGGCTGGTGAGAAGGATCTCGGGCCGGTCCTGCGAGGGCGAGGAGGCCGGGTAGGCGAAGATATTGAATCGGTTCGTGTCGGTGGGCGTGTCCGTTGCCTGGTTGCCGGCGGGAACGGGCTGCTTGATCACCGTGAAATTGTGCGCTTCGAGAAAGTCGGCGAGGAAGAGCCCGACGGCGGTTTCGTTGCCGGACACGGAGGGAATTTGGACGAGGTTGCGGTGAAACGAAAGGAACGGTGAGGCATCGATGATGTCCGAGGGGTCAGAGGTGAGCGATAAGGGTGCCTGTTGAGGTGCTGCTGCGGCAAGGCCAGCAGCTAGCAGAAGGGGAATGGGAGTTTTCATGTCTATAGAAGCTGGAGAAGATTGTGAATGATGGCTTTCATAGCTATCATCGCTGAGCGAGGAACTCGTAGGAAAATGGCAATTGAGAAGTGGGATATGAAGGTTTCACAGTAAAAGAAGAGATTTAGGGTTCTTGCTGTCCAGTTCTAGTACTAGGCTAAGTAGCTAGTAGCTAGTAGCTAGTACTTTGTAGTATCAGTATGAAGCTAAGGAGGAGACACTGGAGATAAGCCGATAACCAGCCGATGCCTGCAGGCATAGATTCAAGTCACGTGGACTGCGGGCCGCAGGATTGACCTTCCTGGTCTGGAATAGTGTCGCATGGCATCATCGAACCCAGAGAAGACATGCAGCATCGTTAAGTTACACACCAGCTATCTCCATGCCGCAGTGAAAGAAACAAGAAAAGAGTCCAAAAGGTATGCTGCTTCAAGACCCTTGCTGTTATCATGCTGACCGAGTCGGTCGTTCGTATCGATCAACCATTGTTGGGCAATTTGGACCTGTGGTCCGTGGATAACCCACCTCATGACGTAGATTTTCCCGACAATTGACTTCTTGACCTTGCAACAGCCGAGATGGGCTCCAATCCACCTCAGGACCAATCAGTCATTCATGCATTTCTTTTTGCATCAGGGCTCAGGGCCCGGATGCTACGACGCTTATGGCCGCAACTCAGCTCGCTTCGCACCTACCCCGGACGAAGTACCATCAATTGATCCCTCTCACGATCTGAAACCTACAGGGTACAGAGGACCGTCCATGTATCAGTTTAAAAGTCCAGTACATGAGGTTAACGATGAATGAAGGGAGAGCAGCCCGCCGCAGCAGCAAATGCCGACCACCTAACCCGATCATCTGGACCGTGGGCACATGGCGCCAAGATCCCTTGCTCGCGGAAACGCGCCGTTCTTCCACCCGTTCGTCTGGCATTCTCCATCGGGCAAAATCAATTGGAACCAAGGTTCAACGGAAGAGGGACCAAAATCCAGAGAGTGAGTGAGTACGGAGCAGGGATCCAGCCGGTTGGCGCTGGGCCATGTGGATCTGACGTCGGCACCAGCTGGATGATTGAGCTTTTCGGCCAAGCCCACAACAACCCACAACCACCCACAACGAACTAGTCCGTACTGTACAAAGCAACTTATCACGCTGCCTCACATGCCAACAAGCAAGCTAGTTTAGCAGCCCCCGGACCCCGAAATCGGGACCAGATCGGAGCATAGACCAAGGTCTGACAAGATAGAGATTAAGAAATGGCGGCGGAAAGGGGGCCACAATCACTTCCTCATACAATGTAGTGAGCCGAGGCAGTGATGAGACGGGCTGTGTGAGAGAGAGAAGCATTGCTCTGGCCACAGCCAAAGTACTGTCCTTACCAGCTCGTCTTTCCTTTCCACCTGCTGACTGACTGGTCGATTGGAACTGGTCGGATGTCAAAGGTTTGTGTGATAGGTCATGGTACTTTCGGCATACTTCCCTCTTCTTCAGCCGTGACTGGAGGGGAATGATGATGGAGCCCGAGGGAGGGTCGCACAATATTTGGGTGCGCGACAGAACGAAGCCATCCACCAGCCACTGGGGTTACATTTCATTGTGTCCTTTAGATAGGGTCGCGCTGTGTTGGACCAGTCGAGTCGGTCGGAGTCTAGACTCGACCTTAAGACACATTCTCCTCCTCCTCGTCCGTCGGCGGAGTCGATCTCCCTTTCACAACGATGCGCTGCCGCCGTTGAAACGTATCTGAGGGAGTCTCAGACAGCTGGAGGACAAGAAAGATCATTTGATCGTTAATCGATCGGTCAGTCCCTTTCCAGGTAAAGTTACAGGTAGGTTAAAGTACTTTGTCCCTGTACTAAGGACTGTCCTTCCACTTGTACCTGAAATCTTATTAGGATTTTCCTCAGGAACAAACGAGGCAGTAACCTTCTTTTCTCTTTCCGCGGAGTAGTTATTCGACCGTGTCTCTTCTCCGGCGCCAGGATGATGGAAGAAGCCCAGAGAACAAGGGCGAGCCGTGGGGAGAGAAAAAGCCGAATCCATGGGCTCATTTCCTGTGGAGCGAAATGTACACACAATGGATCTATCTATTGAGTACAACTGGAAAGCAGAGGACAGTACCCGATACAATCTCTAGCAGAAAAGTCTTCTCTGCTCACTCTAGTCTCTCGCTCTTTCTCTTTTGGTTTTTTTAAAGCCAATTTTAGTCTTGTGATTACTTTCTGTCAATTATAAATCCCCTCCTTCTTTCGTTCTTCTAGGTCCTGATAGTGCCGAAAACCCTGAGGCTGGCCTGTCAGATAGCTGGATCAACCATGCAAGAAAAATTCTTCCATGGAGACATCAGAGAGCTTGGCCACTCAAAGCACCAGTGACAATGCGGTTTGTCTTTCGATCCATGGTTCTGGACTGGAGCCGAGGGCAAAAATGTCGTAAAGGAAGATTCTTAGTAAAGCAAGAGAAGAAAAATGAAAAAAAAGGTTTAAAAAAAAATAACCAAGAAACAGGAAACAGGAAACAAGAACAAAAAAAAAAAAAAAAAAAAAACAAAAGGAGATACTCCGTTAGAGAGGGAAGATTCAAGACTGTTAAGTATGACAAGAGGCAAGAAGACTGGTGATTTGGTGGTTAGAATATCCATCAATTTAATGTGATTTAATTGTTACTTAATCCTATTATTTTTAGTATGTAGTTTAGTTGTAGGATTCTGATTCATTATTGCATCCATATCTGATTGATTACATGAGTACATGAGTATTCCGTACTGTACATGAGTAGAAACTTTTTCAATTCAGTAGACATTTTGTCTGTGCTTTTCCTCTCTGCTCATTATTGTCAGTTGGTCAGTCAGTTCAATCTCATCCATCTCCATCTCCATCTCCAATTCTCCCCTCCCCCTCCCCCTCCCTCTCCCCAACATTGTTGCTTCCCTCAATTTCTTCCTTTCTTCATCCTCTCTCTTCATTCCTCTTCCTCCTCTACTCCCTTCTTCTTTCCCCCTCTTCTGCATTTTTTTTCCAAATTCCTTCCACCTTTAGTAAACGGAAGGATTCTGTTCCTGGCCCTCTTTCTCTCACCGCAAGCCACCCCTCCTCCAACGCCCGCCGATTGCCGGCAGCCTACACTTGGCTGTTTCCGCCGTGCTTTTTGGGCTTCACCCAACCACCCACCCTCTCTCATCCTCGGCCACTTGTTCGTCATCTGTGTCCTAACAGGCTCCACGTCGGTCATCGCCTTTCGTTCTCAACATCCTTTACATCAATCACTGCATCTTTCTTCCCCATTTTCCATCCCCCGCCCGACTATCCGACTACCCGCCTCTAGTGGCCAGGGCCTGTCACTTCAACAAAAGTCGCATCGTGACAGGCAGACAAACGAATTGTTCGGCCTCATCTCGACCTACTTATCATTTGATTCGTCTAATCTAACCAGGGGTTGGTGTGGAAGCCATCTCGACTCATCTCAATCTATCCCACCGCCACGCCACGTCTGCTACCAGTAGTGATCCTAGTTCATCAGCCAGAGCCCCGTCCTGACTTCTCGCCGTGCCTCGGGGAATTCAACGTTTACTTGCTCTGGTTCCCGCTCTTTCTTCTATCTTCTCTTTCGGCCGGGCATATCGTGCGCAGTGGGAACAAACAAATCAGTTCGGGCACCACTTCTCGGATGATGTTTTGTCTGGTCTCATCTTGACTCCATCTTCTCCCCTGCGTTCCGCGTCGTTACTCCTCACCTCCGTACTGCCCTACACTGGCACGTGAAGTGGAAGCCTCACCATCGCCTTTCTCGTGCTCGCTCTTCTCGCTCAGTCACCGCTAGATTCCATCACCCTGGTGGTTCCTGTCCATTGATCATGTTCAAACCCACCCAGTTCCTCGACACTCGGCGGTGCGACAGTTCTGAAACCATGGCAGAATCATGTTCTTCGTTCCGCCAGCCCCAGTCGCCCTTGACCACTACCTCTTCTACTCCCGTTTCACCCGCCGTGTCTCTTTTTTCCGCCAAAGGCCACACGCGTTTTTCCAGCTCCGTTTCGTCGTTGGTATCGTTCCCAGGGCACGGTACCTCCATGGAGAGTAATTCGCGCAATGCTTTGACGGGCGTAAAGGAAGAGCCATGTGGGGAACGACCCCGAGATCTCGAGGAGGAATATTTCCGTATGTCATTGCCCTTGCGCCAGCCCCATAGCCGCCCGAGAGTCTTTTCCGCGTTATCACCCCAACCTGCTGATAGGATTGAGTTAACCTTCCCCTCTTTCCACAGAGCACTTCGATCAAGGACTGTCTGTGGTCGAAGACTCCTGCTTCGACTCATTTGATCCGGCTGACAGCTACGACCTGACAGATGCCGGCCTGGACTCTAATCAATCGCCCAGGAACCGATGCTCCGACAGCATCTCAGGCAAGGGTCTTTCCCGTATAGGCTCCCGGATATCCACCATCTCCACGAGGTGGAAATCCAAACGGGCCTCAGATGGAATTGATGGGGCAGATGCATTCGCAACGCACCTGCGTTCCCGGACCAACTCAGCATCGTCAGCCATCGTTAGCCCCGTGACAGGCTCGTTTAGCCGCGTCAGCTCCATTCAAGTGCCACCATCCCCAGCCCGGACAATTTTTGAGGAGGAACTCAGCGAGTCTGGCACACAGCCAATTGATATTGTCCGCTCGAGCAGATACAGTCAAGACGATTCGGGTCCGCAGGCAACAACCCCATTACTTCCACCTTTTATGGGTGATGAACCATCCTACCCTGCCGCCTCTCGTGTTCACTCCCCGTTACAATCACCTTCTGTGGCTGACATGACTGACGATGCCCTGAACAATCCCACTGTGTTGGTCAGGCGATTGGCAGGCTTGCCGTCACCGCCTCTATCTTCAAAGCCGTCTGTTGCCTCTTTTAGCCGTCCGCGTGCCAGCACGGTACGGACAGTGTCGGGGGATGCGCCCCCATTCACTCTCTCAGATCCTAACGATGAATGGGCGAACAAGTTGGGACACGCCAACTTCACTATCCAGCCTGAGCCTTATATGCCCGAAGTGATCGACGTTGATTCCCTTCAGCAATTGCGCACCAACTGGGATCTTGCGCAATGCAATTTCGCTCGTCATCTTGTGCGGACAGGGGAACACTATGGTATCACCTCAACAATCTACAGGCTGACTGAGGAAAAATGGGAGGCGATCAATCGCGAGTGGAAGAGTCATCATGGAGCAATGCTTTCTCACCTAAGAGGTACAGAAGGAGTGCGACTCGACTTGGTGCGTTCGCACTGTGACCCTTGCCATCCGGTAAAATTACCGCGCTTGCATGACGACAAGTTTCCCGAATTAGGCGACGGCGAGATCGTCGGACCTATGAAGATTGCCCCCGCTGTCAGCGGCTCAGGTCTTTGTCGAAGCCGCTCGCTCAAACGCAACTTTCTCAAATTCTTCCAGGATCTCGTGATTCGGTCCTGATCCTTCACTTAATGACCACAAACTCTACTGCGGGAGGACTCGATGTACAACATCTTACGAATGCTACGCCTCTTGAACGATCCGCTCGATTCAGCGCGTGATGACTAATGCATATAATTTCTTTGCGTCTTTCTGCCTATGACTCTGTGATCCAATAATGATGACTGATGACCTGTTTTTGTACCTGTGACTCCTGTCTCATAGAGTGCAGTCCATTCTTTGATGTTTAATTGACCAAAAACCCTGGTTCTACTTGTTAATCTGTGCCCTTCCGGCTATTTCCTCAGACCAATATGGAACGGTCGTGCTGTACTGCGCCTGCCGCCACATTGTTACTTTGTATGCATATGCATGGTTTTTGCGATTCATGTCTTGTCCATGGTGTACACCATGCATCGGGTTCCTTGCCTTGGTGGGAAAATCTATATAAGGTGCTAATAGGCATGACAAGAGCGGTGGTAGGTTATTCCTAGCTACCGAACTCTTCGGTCCGCAGGACAGGATGAGTGGCAGGAGGACCATGCTGAAAGAACTAAGTACATGTTCTGAAATTAACCAAATAAACGGAAAATAGTTGAGATACCAAGGGGGAGCGGGAGGTATTGCAGCATCTGCGCCTTATACCCTTGAGGCATACATTTTAAAAAGGATTCGTTTCTCCCAGAAAAGTCCACATAGCTACATCCTCACACATACACAGATATGATTTGATTGGATGCAATTTTTGACATCGGGGGTGTACGCTTTCGCAAAGGAAACAAAACATGTTCATATCTTTGTACATATGTATAGTGTATTCACATTTATATTCACAGAAGCTGCAAAGCTCCTACCCTATCGGCATTCATTACTGTCTCCTGGAATCCGTATACAAGTAGTCTTCTAGTCCTCGCTGCTGGAAAGATGCCTGCAGATATGGGAAACCTGAGAACGAAAGCTAGCAGCTGATGGGGCGGGGACAGTGGCTTTGCCGGAACAAAAAGAACCGACCAAGCCGAGCAAAACCCCCACACCACGAACGACTGAGTGACTGCAGCACAATGCCTCGTGATAGAGCTGCTATCACTGGCTACACCCAGTACTGGCTCCAGAGACGCTTTGCTTCCTCATCGCCACGGAACTGGAACTCTACGCGAATGATATCTTTGAAACCCTCGTCCATGGAAGGCTCCTTGAAGCGACGAAGGAAGTCCCCGAAAGCGATGCCGGGAAGGAGGGTCCGGGATTCCGGATTCTGCAGTCCCCGTATGTGGGCGAGATGATCAGTAGAAATTCAAACTTCTGTGGGTTTTCTCAGGGAAAGAAAGAGAGGGGATAGGTGGGGGAGGGGGTGTTCGAATGAGGACAGGTGCGGGGTGCACCATGGCAGAATTAGAATCAGCAATGGAGGATCAACAGAAAGAGTGATGCTCCAATTTCATGGAGAATTGGCGAGGGGGTGGTAGTGGGAAAGTGAGGGCTTGGTGCAAGGGTAACTTAGACAGCTCAGACAGCTTAACGAGGGTAGATGCACGTGATATGATATAGATAAGCTAAATTCATAGTCTGCACTATGCTGGACTTGAACAGGAGCTTTTTCAGCTGATAGATGGATACTTGTGAGGTACTGAGTGTCTTGTACCCTGTACGTTCCGAAGAAAGCGAGCGGATGACGTGAAGAAGAATACTGGAAGTCAAGCCAGATGTGCAACGTACCAGGGATAGGTTAGCGGCACGGACCGCATTATTATGCCGGCAGAGGGTCGGGGAAGCAGTGAAATATACGCAGCGAATCGGCACCTTGAACTCCCTAGCTACTGCAACCCAGTGGGCTCTCGTCTCTGCGTCGGCATTGGTATTATCTGTGTAGCGTATGGCATGCCGCCAAAAAGTCAACAAGTCATCCAACTGACGCTCTCCACGGTCTGCTGGGTCTGGTGCAAACATTGCGACGTGGGCGGACCAGAGAGAGGGTTTGGAGCAGTAACGAGGGTGTGGGCTGGATGATTGCGGAATGTCCGCGTAACATGCGAGGGTTGAGCGACAAGAAATTGGTCGGGGTGTGCTGTACGTACCAACCACCACAGATTTTCTGGCCGCAAGGTGCTCCTTTGCCACTTTTATGCACTTAGGGCGCTATCGCAAACAATCGGTTGGTCAGTTTCCTTGTTGACATGCACTTTCCTCGTATATATTCATCTGACACTGCAGGAAGGGCCCCGATTGCTTTTTTTGTTGAGGTGCTCTGACTCATCTGCTCGGGTCTCATTGGAATATGCAAATTGACAAATGCAGACAGACGAAAGTGAGGTCGCCTCGGACAAGGTAAGAAGAGTAGACGTACAGTTCTGAGGAGGTCTTGGTTGACTCGTTCGTAGTTCAAGGGTTCTAAATAGTCCCAGTAGAACGTTGACTTGCCCGCTCCCGGGCTGCCGCAGAAGATCACCAATTCAAGTGGGCTCTCTCCCGAGAAGGGGGGCGACACTGCTCCGTCCGTTATTGAATATCGAAGATAGATCCGTGGCGGGTTCACAATCATACTACATGAAATGACATACCATCGTCACCAGGAGCTTCTTGCAGATACGTGGACGGGTCGAACGGTTCCACGAGTGGTTCTGGGTCAGCGTCCAGGAAAAACTCCTCGGGAGTCTTGAAGGACAGTCCAGCATTGATAGCGAACCCACTTCAGCCGCCGTTAGCGAGGGAAAGGAATCTGGTCGGTTTCTGGCTCACCGATCTACTTGCGAGTGGTCTCTCGGCCGTCCAGCGGCATCACCAACAAAGACAGAATGGCGGAGGTCGACCCCAGAAATGTCAAAGTCATAATCGTCTAGGAACTCTGTCCACAATCCTGTTCTGGGTTTGCGATAACCATCATCCTCTGTGGCAGCGTAGACACTCATTGGGATATCCAGTTGCTTCATAACAGCAGCAGCTCTTTCCTTGAAGTTTGTAAGACTCTTCGAGTCGCTGTTGCCCACCTTGGGATCCTTCTTCAAGCTGATCTTTTTCTGGTTCGTTATGATGATCACATAATATCTTCGAAATCAGCAACTGGAGAGTGCTGTAGCAATGGAAGAGCTTCCGTCATTTCATTACATACCCCTTCTCGTTTAGCTCTTTGAGCTTGGTCGGAACCTTACTATGCCACCACTTCCAGTCTGCTGAGCTTTTAGGAAATGTGTTTCCGGAAGCTGTAGACACTAGGGTCGAGTCCTGCGATGGTGCGTTGGTCAGCATGGGGAGGGGTTTCCCACTGTGAATGGAGTCCAGTCTCATGATCCTTACCAGATCGAAGGCAGCGACTTTGGGCTTCTCGGCCGTCTGTTTGCGCTCGGCTTCAGCGACATACTTACCTATTATCGCGCTGTTGTTCACCACGCGCCAAGTGATTTGCTCGGGTTTCTTTTGTGAGGCGGGGGTGAAAAACGAGGACACGGCTCTCTCTATAATGGCGGCGTCAGACAGAACCCCAAGCAATTGCTGACAGATGTAAAAAACCGGGCCTTAATCTGCAAAATGATCTTGACTTACTAGTAATGGTGGATTCCACCTTTCTCTTGACCGGAGGCGGAGAGATGGCGCGACTGGGGGACGCTGCTCGTTTGGTGGCCCCAGCACCGGCCATTCTGAGATAATGCAAGCGGGAGATAATCTTGATGATGTTTCGGGGTTGATGGGTTTTCTTCTCTAAGGGGCTTTAAGCGAGGCGGACGAACTGAATGGGCAGCTGGTGATGGGGAGAGTGTGTGCCCGGCTCAACCCACGAGTCGGAAAGTGGAAGGGAGACGCGCGGGTACGCGCGAGAAGCCATCACGAAGTCACATGTTCAAATGTCAATTTGCTGCAATCACCAAAGCCGACCAGTGCAACCGCCAAAGACTGATATGTTAATGGTGGACTTATATGTTGTAGGTCGTCAGCTGCTATTCTTGGTTCTCAAACACATCTTGCGACTTTACTCATACTTAATCTTTATCTGAAGCATCGGATGTACATTGATAATAGAGCTAAACCACAGGAACAGAGAGCTAATATAGCTCCGGGGGTATAAAACATTGCGAAAGAAGCAAGCGCCAGAATGCATCAGTTACTTCGCTCGGGTATCCAGAGACAGCCTATCTGCTTGTTCCAGACGTACAGCCGACTTGAGCTGCTCTCGAAGCCCGAACAGATGCTGAGACGCCGTCTTCATCATTTCCTGGTTGCTTCCGTCCTGGACAGTAATTGCGGCTTGCAGAACGTAACTACCCGTCCGCTCGAGCGGGGTGAGCTCGTGATATGCAGGTAGCTGTTGTCGAGGGCCATGTGAATCCTGCGGCTCCGCCTGGGGGTACAGCAAGACGCGATGGAGGAAGATGACGATATCATTCTGGACGAAGACATCTCCTTCCACCATGTACTCGGTAACAAAACTGAGCTGGAATGTCAGTTTGTTCGGCTGCAGTCGTCCAGATACTAGTGGGGGAAGTAACGGGCGTATCAGCTACAGGGGAGGAGACCGACCTATAGCCCCAGGCATTCATGGGAACTGCAATATCACCTTTAGGCAAGCTTGCACTTGCCATTAAGCGAGTGGTCACGGCCGATCGAGTACCAGCCTCGGGAATGTCTCTGAACTCCAGTCTCCAGGGTTGGTTTTCGTAGCAGTAGGAAGACTGGTCGGTTCCAGACATAGACACATCTGCATCATGGGAGGCTGACATGGCCGACGAAGAGGTCGGGCCAAAATCCGCCTTGGTCACAGGGCCAACGACCTGGGTGTAGTACATGCCCCCATTCAACATCTTGTTCAAACGTTGCATGTCGGCGCCCTGCACGTCCTGACTGGCTCCCACACGGGTGGTGACTAGGCCTGGCTTGCGATAGGCCTTGAAGACCAGCCGTCTTTCTATGCGGTGACGCGGTTGCATGGCAGTCAAGCCGGCCAACTGTTGGAGGAGCTCATGATACTGATGGGCAGGGACCGAGGCGAAGAGCAGAAGCTCATGCATGATCACAAGGGAATGAAAATAGAAATAAAAATCGGGATGAAGAGGAGGGAGGGGAGGGGGAAGGGGGAAGGGGGATAAGGTGTGCCTAACTCCGTCTCGCAGGTTCGGCGCCGCGATTTTTGTCGGTGCTTTTGGGAGGTGGGAGGGATTTTAGGTAAGCTTGCCGCGTGAGGACTGGATAGCTTGGAGATTCGAGCCCTGGGAGCCTTGCAGCCTTGTAGCCTTACAGCCTTACAGCCTTGGAAGTTCCCAAAAAGAAAAGAAGTGGACGGCAAGCTCAGGCAGGGAATACGGGTAAACCCGGGATGGGGAATTGGTCTCAAGAAGGGAAATTTTCCACCCGGCACTTCTTCCGAAACCCAGAGGTAGTAGATGAATGAATGGTTACTCCGTACTACTACGGTAGTACAGTACCTACTCAGACTCAAGTACGACGAGTCCATAGTCCATACTGATGGTATGGATACGGAATACGGATAGGTACGGAGTAGTATGTATGTGTATGCGATGCGGGGATGAGCATCCGAGAGGGGGAAAGTCAAAACTCCCCCTCCTCCCCTCCTCTTCCCCAGGCCATAACGTGATGATCACGCCAGATGGGCAATCAGACGATGTGTATGAGGGAGGATGGGCGGAGGGTCCAGTGAAGTAAGTAAGGATGGTATGTCGAGATAAGACTGGTTACACCATCGTGACCTAAGTTATGAGAACTGCAGCCATCCCAGACTGCTCCCAGCGTTAGTCAGGCACAGACTCCTTCACCGAGATTGCGGGTTTAGGTAAAGCTCGGGGCAGCCCGACATCCTTCGGAGCCGTTGATTTGGGGAAAGATGAGGGGAAACGCATCCCTGGATTCTCTCCAGCGGTCCAGCAGCCGGTTGGCTTCATTGATCATTCATTGATAGGTGAGTGATTGTCAGATCATGCCACAGAAAGAGGAATGTTTTCCGCCGGGCGAGATCAATCGAGAGAGGAAGAATTTAGCCTATCGGGGGGTAAAATCCGGCGGCCGGTGGTGGGTGGGTGGTTGTTGTTAATAATTAATCACCCGTCATTAACTAACGGTTAACTCGAACTCCATACTAACTTATGTGTAGGAGGAGCTTATCAGAAGAAAAAAAAACCCACACCCTCGCTTCCGCTCCCCGACAACTCGACCGATCACCGACCGACGTCGTGTTCCATTCGCCTTTTTCCTCTTCCTCCCCC